AACGAAAGAAAATAATTCCGATAATTTTCTGAATGAGTTTGTTTTCGCCAGAGCATTAAGGCTCGCTTACTTAGAAAATTAAGCCATTTACTTTCACAAAACGTTACATTTTCTACTATTTTTAATTATATATTACTATAATTATATATACTATCTTTAAATATTTTATACTATCCAATTTTCTGTACAACTGACCTCATTATTCTTCTGTTCCTTCAACCTTGCTTCTTCTTTTAATATGTAATTCTATTCTATCTCAAATCAAGAACTGAAATTCTACTTAATTTCAATCCAACAAATCAAATGGCAATTCTGTGTTAGTGCCAGGATTCGAACCGAGTAACCCTGGCGTGTGAGTCGGGCATGCTACTGAGCTATTTCCGCCCCGAACAAGTGGTTAGAGCTTTTTCAATCAGAAGGTTGTAGGTTCTATACAACTTTTACTTCCCTGACATTGCTATATGAAGGAAAAAAATCAGTACTTGAGAAAATCTAACAAAAAAAACAATTATAAAATAGAGATGGGCGTTCGAATGTTATATGTTTAAGGTCATGTTCATTCAAATCCACAAACACTCTAAGGTAGTTAAATAATGATACAGAGAACTAGTTACAGTTGAATAATACATTCAAACATGCATTCGGGACTCGCCCATGATTTAGTGGTTAGAGCTATGGGCGTTGAATAGGAGGTCTCAAGTTTGTTTCCACTTCGAGCAGCCTGATGTCAAGCGATAATGACATCTGTTTTAACTTGGAATAATATAGATAGCAATATGTTACCTGGCAACAATAAAAAAAATCGTCACTATTACAGAAATTGTTATAATTTAAGATTTATCACTTACTTTGTTCGAGATGTTACAACTTTTTGGGTTACCATCTATAAACAGGTGGACGTGACGTAATCATCACCACCTATAAGTTCTGGTCGCTGTTCAAATAATAAATAAAACAAAGAAACTTGCATTGACATATTACAATTGAACAAACATTTTCTTCTTAATTGCGCATGCCTGAATCGCACATTTAGATGCGAAGGCATGGCAAAAATTCCAGATATTCGCATACGTTTCAGACTTAAGTTACTGTTCTAATACGAATGCGGCCTTAATACATGTTTGCATTATGACGTATACGTCATGTTTCAGACTAGGATTATTGGAAACGAAATTTGAAACGATGAAACAACGAACGTGCTAGAAGCTCTTTCGCATGAAAATCCAATGTAAACAGACCATCCACTTTCCAAGATGATAGAGGTACTTACATTACGTAACGTCTTGTATCAGACAAATAATGGGATTTGCGGAGAATTTCTAGTTTCTATAGAACGCGAGACTGAAAATTGTGCATCTCCACTCGCTTAAATATCGATTTGTGTAGAGCAGTTATGTATAATTGATTTAGAACAAAGACAAATTATTATATGTATGGTAGAGCGGGGCTTAAATGTCCGCGGGTAAAAGGGTCTACCACCAATATCTCAAAAACATGTGAAGTTAAACATTTTTTGGCAACAATATTTGGAAGTAGAGGGAAAAAGATGTATAATCGGCCATCATCCTAATTGTTACCGGGAAATAAACCGTAACACAAGTTTTAAATAACCTCTATAATAGCTTACATGTGGATGGGGTAGAAAGGATCAATTGAACTTTTACCCTGGCAAAAGCGTGAACAATAAAAAATGGTGAATAAAAAGTAAATTCAGTTAAAAAGGCAATTTCACAAGATATAAATTACTTAAATAGTTATTCCAACTTTACTAATGAATACTTTTAAGGCAATATTAGATAAGGTTATGTACAGTGTTATCTTTGTAAAAAAATTGTTTTGCATTTAAATGATGTAGATAATAACATATGGAACCTGTTTGCCCACTGGCCAGGCCACAAAATTTTGCAAAACATCAAAGAATACATTTTTACAATGATGAATTAGCTGGGAGTTTTACTGTACATAGTCAGATATGTTATTTGTTGATATAATTGGTTTGGTTTTTGAAATATATTTGATCAAAATCAAATTCGACTTTTGTGCACTGCTCTGCTCTACATTCAAAACGAATTGTTTTTCAAATTAGTGTTTATATTATAATTTTTCGTTATGCATTTTAGTAGCTTAATTAGTTTAGATTTAACTTTTAGGTTAAAATATACTTTTTGTTCGAAACGCTGGGAAGTCAACGTAACTTCAATTCTTTACAATCATATAAATATGATGCCTGTATGACGACATATGAGTGCAAAGGAATCAAATTTCAAATCTTGGCATGAGAAATGTTACGTTATGATTTGCTTCGCCAAACAAACAAACGAAATGACATCAAACATAAAGCATTTCACGGTAATACGCATAAAAAATCTATTGTTATATATTTTTAAAAGCACTAACAATACATAACAAATGTTGAATTAGCATATATAGCACATAGAGCTTTCAGGACAGACAATGAATAATAGACCTATTCTCGGATAACTTAGCTATGTTATGTTATCAGTCTTACAGTAGTAACGAATATTTTTGAAATTAGAGTATGTTGGAGATTTGGTATTCTCGTTGAACTTATTTGATAAATTATGTTCTCTTGGTACTTATAGTTTTTTTTGAGCTGTTAGAACGTAAATATTTGATACTGCCAAATGCTGCAAACTAACCTCGAATTATGTCAAAATAACATTAGTTCGACTTCGCGTCTTTTTTTATTCGCAAGTTCAATGCATCAGTACCATCGTCTATATGAAATGTCACCGTCATGTTGTCATTTAGCATAAAACATGTAACCAGGAATAAGTATTACATTTATTGTAATTTGAACAAAATAAATGCCATAAAAGAACTAAATAAGCCCATAAACGTTAGGTACGGTGTTCGCACAGACAGAGGCTTAAGTTAATTATTTGAGCTGCGGGATTGTAGGAAAAGCTCTGACAAACATATTTCATTATGAATTCCGGGATTATTTATGCCCTATGATTTTTATATCAAACATAGCATAGACAGTGTCGACAACAATGACATAAATCATTTCAAAATAAATTATAATCAGAAATTAGTTATTTAGGTATTCTGGAGTTTAGAAAGTAGGTGATAGATTAACGAAAGAATTAAAAAAATCTTATTGATCTATTTTAATTCTACAACAAGTGAAAATGCATTTCATTTTTTGGTTTTTCATTTCTATTTTATCACAGTAACAAATTGCGTCACTAGACGTACTTCTTATTAGTTTTCTTTTTTTATACTTTGTTATTAAGATGTTGACAAAAAACAGCAATGATTTATCGGTGGGGTACGAATCATTAAAAATGCGGAGAAACAAATATTTTTTATAAAATGATAATTAAATTTATAATTGGAATATCATAATTTTTGTACACTATTTATGTAAATGCAATGAATATTAATAGAATTTTTTTATTTACTTAAAATAGCAATTAAGTAACAATGAAGCTATTGTTGCATGAGAAAAAAAAACAATTAAAGTTAGTCAATGACAGGGAATGCAATACCGATGAAAAATTTCAATACCGGCATTTCGGTAATTTTTCGTTTTAAAACCGGAATACCGGTATTTTTATTATCTTAAACAAACGTAAACAAAATTGAGAGTTACTAGTACAAATATAAAAAAATGAATATACAACTACAACTATATTCAACTAAACAATAATAAAACAATAAGTTTATTGTTTTAATAATAATTTATCAAAACTATATCCAATTTGATTAATTCATTATCAGTATCGAGTATATCAGTATTATTATCTTTTCACCACAAACTATCTTATGAGTAAGGAAGACCAAAAACTCATAAAAGATCATATTACATTATTATAATAAACTGTATTGTCTGTATCCGATGTGTTAAATTAGCTAAATCTCCAATGTTTCAACAAAGTAATTTTACCACACTAATTTAGGATTCGATACTTTATCGAGATAAATAATAAGATACTATAATTGTTGAGTATTGTTATTTAAAACAATGTGATGGTTCTATAGTATTTTCAAACTTCGAAACGTGTTCGATAAATAATATTTTATAATTGTAATAAGAAGCAAAAATATTTAGTAATATTTTGTTGATTATGAGTCTGTATGACATAAAATATTTTGGCGCAAATTTTACTTAGAAAACCGTTACATTTTTACATAACATGAAACAAACATCATTATCCATCAGTCTAATTCTATTTATTGTAACACGATATGAAACCCTTAGTAAAGCAATAAATATTCAGTTTAATGACGAGTTGAGATAATATTTGACATTTGTTTATCCTATAAAGTCACTTAAAGATATAGCTGTTTATGCGATCATGGAATTTAAAGATAAATTTGTTCCGAGAAATTTAAACTTTAGTGTATTATGTATCAGATAGCCCTTATGTAAAAATACCAAAAATACCGGTATTTTTAGAGTAAATACCGGTATAAATACCGCCGAAAAATCGGGTATTTCGGTATACCGGTATACCGGTATTTTGGTGTACTAGTATACCGGTATTGCATTCCCTAGTTAATGTTATGGCAGAATATAATAGTAAGAAGAAAAGATATTAATATCAAACAGAACAAATCCAATCATTTATTTATTAAGGATGACTTGTAGTATTGTATAAAATCTTATATAACATTTAAAGTACTTTTTTATTTAATTTTTCAACCCCAATCAGAACTACATAACCTTTCATATTCTATAAGCTGCAATGTACTTAAATTATTAAAAAATCTCCTTCGTTTCTAGAATCCAAGGCATAATGACCCCCTTTTCCTCCATCCTTTTTCTTGGCTACTGTCATATAGGTCAATATATTTGCTTACGGTTGATTTATTTTCAAGAGCTTATTAATATTTTCTTCAGAATAACCAGGTTACCCATATATTAGACACGATATTATCTCATTTGTATCTGCTTTCATCAACATTTTTATTATATTTATAGAATTTAAACACTCTTTCTGAAATTAAATTTTTTTTTTCTTTTGTTGCAGGATCAAAATTATTGATATATTCTCTAGTGTTAATAAAAGCCATGGCCATTCGCTTGTTATGGTAAGTCACTTCTCTGTGAATATCTAAACTTTTATTATAGCATAGACATTTGTTATAATTATAATTCCAGCTAATAAAGTAAGAGCAGATATAAACTTCGATTTAGAAGTTTTACATATACTTAACGTGGTATTCTAGTTTAGGTGCATGAATTTTATAATTTTTGAAAGGCCGTTTGTAAGAAAAAAACAAACAATATTTTTAAAAACTATTTTTATAAGTTAATTATTGTCGTAAGAATGCAGAAAAAATGAAATTACAAAGTTTCAAATCTAGCAGAAGATGAAGTGGGGTTCTCAAAAAATTGACACGTAACCGCATACTTGATTTTGGTCTTCCAAATCATCTGAAAAAAAAAATCTCGAATAATGTCGCATTCTTATGAACTACGGGCAACTTTCAAAAAGCATAAAATAACGAATGTCTCGATTTTTTGAATACACAGGCCAACAAAAAAAAGTTTTTTTTTTGGTGCCTCAAATGTTAGAGCTGATTCTTATAGTATTTTTTGCGCTGATTTCAAATCTGCAAACCATTTTTTTGTATCAGCTCTAGTTTTTGAGATACAAAGAAGTTGCCGAAACCAGGTCCATTCGAGGTCGTCACGGAAAAGAACTTTTCACAGTGTCAACTAATGTCCCAACTAAGGCCGAATGGGTCTTGTAAGTTTGTATGAACGAGTGGGCATATCTCATTACAATAACATTCTGAATTGTATTACTATTTTTTACTTTCGTTCCTTATATTAGGTGCGCAACTAAGTTCTCGCTGTTTGTCAGTATATGGCTTTATCAGTAAGGGTTGGTCGTTTTTGACAAATCCAAAACGTCTTGAAGCAAGCTTAGAGTAAGTAAACAAACTGCGGTGACACATAATTGATTTCGTTTTTGCATTATATACTTCTGGTTGAGTGAATATGTCCAATTTTATGCCTAACAATCGTCATTTGCGGGGAGTATTGATTTTCGTCTTCCATTAAAAAAAAAAACGGCAGCAAAGTGCATCGAGAGCTACGGAAATGTTGCTCTGAGCGAACCAACATGCCATGAGGGGTTTTGTCGCTTCAAAAATGGTGATTTTGATGTTGACGACCACCCTCGTGAAGGAAGGCCAAAACCTTCAAAAACGCTAAATTGAAGGCCTTGTTCGAAGAGGATTCGTGCCAAACTCAAGAAGATCTTGCTTTAGAATTAGGAGTTACCCATCAAGCCATTTCCAAGCTATAGTATGCGTCGGGGATGATTTAGAAGCAAGAAACTTCGGCTCCTTGTGAGTTGAAGCCAAGAGACGTCGAGCGTCGTTTTTTCGCCTGTAAACAACTGCTCCAGCGGCGAGAAAAAAAGAGGTTCTTCATCACATCGTGACAGGTGATAAAAAATGAATACATTACAGCAATCCAAAGACGAGAAAATCTCGGTTCGGCCGAATATTCACTTCGAAGGTTATGCTCTACATATGGTGGGACCAGGTCGGTGTTATTTGTTATGAGCTGTTGAAACCGAGTGAAACCATCACTGGAGAACTGTATCGAACTCAATTGATGCATTTTTTTATAATAAAGTTACATTTTCATCGAAAAAAACAGCGAGAACTTAGTTGCGCACCTAATATCGCATAATATATCATATATATCGTATCTTGAAAACTAAAGCTCATAGAAAAAAACCAATGTCATTTTTGAAATCAGCGCCCCAAATATACTTAAAAACAGTATTAAAATCGTTTGCACCATTTTCTTTGTTGACCTGTGATATAGTGAATTTAAGCTTATATCATAATAAAGAGAAATCCATAAAAAAGATCCTGTAAAAATGTCGGTTCAGTAGAAGTTGAGAAATCGTGGGTATCCTTACCGAAAAAGACAGTTGCGGGAAAAACGAGTTCAAAGTTTCGCGTAATAATAATGTTTTGGTACAAATTTCAATTCAAAGAGTTCGGAGATCCATGTTTTTGTTTCTTAAATTTCTGAACCTAAACATGTTTAATAACATTCCAAACTTCAACAGAGGTCGATTATTGTGGTCAAACTCTTTTAATGTATCTATATCTCCGAAAATATTTGAAATTTTAAATCATCTTGTAGGTCAGACTGGGTGCAGTTGTGCCACTTTTTTTTGATCAGCAATAATTTTGTTGATTTACCTTACCAGCTAGCTAGGAGAAAAGTAAATTAAATGATAATTTGAATATTTGTCTATGAAGGAATACTGAAATGCTATCCTTTAATACGATGGAGAAGTTACAAAATCAAATCATACAATAAATGGGCGAGCGTCACAATCGTGGACGGTTTGACGATGTTTTAGGCACAAACATAGGTTATACGGGAAGCTAACAATATTTAAACAATCACAAAGCATATGAATATATTATACCACAATATAATAAAACGTAACTTTTGAAACAATGTTAACAAAAAATTAACTGAACTATGCGATCACTTCCCTTCTTATAATTAATAAGTCACTATCACGACTAGTCTTATTATTTTTTTTAAAATCAGTCTAAATGTCAATTAATAATAATTATCAGTTTACTAATTAGACAAAATATTACAATAACTATGTATCAATATACTTAGATATACTCGATTTTACCTGAAACGACTTTCTTGGCACTTGATCCAATTTACGCCATCCCTACTTTAAGAATATGAGCTTCCACGAACCAGAAAAAATCTTTTTTTGTATTGCTTTTTCCTTTTCCTTTCTCTTTCGCACTACAAAATGCCTTAGTTCAGTTATCTAAAAAAATATAACAAATATGTTACAACCGTTACCCACAAAATTTGTCACGACCGCCCCCCAACCCACACTTTTGGAGACAACAACAAACTTACTTTTGACTCTTTAAAAACAATGCGACCTGTAGATCATGTTAATGTAAAGCGCGAATAGGTAACTTTTATAAATAAACTATATATTATAACATATCAATTACTAAATGTCTTCACTAAAACAGATTGTATTTTGTATGATAAATAAATAAAAAAATGTAAAGCGCGGATTAAAAGCAATATTACACGGATAGTTTAGCTGTTATAACGAATGTCACTACCGTTGCAAAACCGTACCCAAGTCTCCCTTATATAAATTCTTGAATAGGTAAATTTATTGTTAGAAAATATAAAAAAGTGATTTCTTAACACTTCTAGACTAGAACACCCCTTTAAAAATGTCTACGTAAGAGTTAAGCACAAACAATAAATACTTCTTAAAAAACTCATTACCACAGTTTTGTAGTCGAATTTTAAACACGTTGGTATGAAACACTGTCGTTTGACTTTTAATTAAAAATCTATGATAAAATAATACGTTAATCATTTTTACATTTTTATTGCGATTGTTTCTGAATTTTAGTAACTAGCTTTTTCTTGACATTTAATAATATCTTAGAAATGAAATAATGATAGAGATATAATTTCTCAATTTGTGACTTTAGACAACAAAGCAGTAGCAGCTCAAGCGGCCGCGAATACAGATCGCGCTCCGTCCGGCGTCGCGTGTGACAATGTCGTCGCGCCTCCACAGCTTCTATACGGTGGAGGTTGGGGACACCAAGTTCACCATCCTCAAGAGATACCAGAATCTAAAGCCAATAGGCTCAGGAGCACAGGGAATAGTCTGGTGAATAATCATTACACTTAATATTTCATTAGTTTTGATATTTTCCGGTTAGCTGAAAGCGAGAATACTCGATGTGTAATATCAAGCGCAAATTATAAACTAAATAATTTTTTTTTACTAAATAGTGAATAAAATACTGAATTCAATCATAGTGAAATTTATACGTATAAATATAATATTGCACTTTCGAAAAATCACAAGCTAAATAATTTTGTCGACTAAATAATTGTGTTTGCTATGCTTTGAATAACATTTTGTAAACTATGAATAATTATAAGTTCTATATATATATATATATATATATATATATATATATATATATATATATAAGTGCAGTAAACGGAGAGGAAAAAAAGGGTATCAACTCTGAATTTTTTACTGTGCTCCGATTTGCATGAAATTTTAGAATTAGGTTCATCTTACCCTCAAGTTCAAAAGTGAAAACAATTCGGACTCCACGTATCAAGGTAAGATGAACCTAATTCCAAAATGTTATGCAAATCGGAGCACAGTAAAAAAATTCAGACCTAAAACGCTCCATTATATATGTTCCGTTCATATTATGTTTATAATAAAAAAAATATACATGGATTTCACTATTGTTTTTTCTCTACTTTTCACTTTGTTTATATTTGCCAAACTAGCAATTGATAAATGGTCTTTTGTATAAAAAAATGTGACATTATTGGCCATGTACACAATTTTTTTATGAATGCAAATTCTATAATATTATTTGATCAGATGAAATTATTGAGCTTGTGTATAGTTGATACACCATATCTTTAAAAACTATTGACATATGCTGATGTGACAGAAACAAGCTGCTTATTGTATATTTTTGAACTCATTGTATATATATATATATATATATATATATATATATATATATTTGTGTGTGTACATATGTATATATGTATAATATGCCTGAAACATCTAGTGAACTATATATTCGAATTATGTTAATGATTTTGTCACAATTTCACTGGAATATAATATCAGTTCTAGTTCGCAATTTTGATTTTGAGTATATATTTATACGTCTATATATTTCTAATATTGTAAATTAAAATCAGATTTTTTTTCACTTCAATAATTCTAATTTTCGAACTAGAATTGATAACAATTATTAGGCGCATGCATACTGATTTATATTTAGATATTTATAAGTGGAATATTATTTTTAATTTGTTTAATTATGGAGCATTTAGTTCAGTTTTAAGTTTTTTTACTTCAACTAATTTCACTCTTGATACTTTGTTACATGATCTTTAATTTCAAATCTTTGCATTTTTGCTATCTTTCACAATTTTCAATTAACTTTCATTTTCACATCTACTTAATTCATCATATTTACTTTATATGCAATAACAAATCTGAAATCCTTGAAAACTACCAGTTATGTGTTTGGAAAAAACATAAACTGAAGTAAATTGTTTACAAATAATTGAAAAAAAAAAATACAATTCAGGATGCCTTAGTCAAACGATCAATAGATGCATGTTTATTAAATTTTGTTTCATATATAGTTAAATATAATTTGCAGTTAATTTTATTTTTAGCATTAAGCATCGTTGTGTTTATTCTTTTCATAGATCTAGTTATATTGTTTATTTAAATTACTGTTGTTAATTAATTTTGTATGTGTGCAAATCTGTTACATGATGAAATTTGATCTGATATCTTCTATTTGAGCACTGTTGCATGGTTCCGATCGAATAGTATCGAAGGTATGACAATAATAGTTCGAAATTATCTCAAATTTTTTTACGTGAGAGCTCAAGAGGAAAACCAAACCAGCTCTATCAAGTCTTATTTGTCTGTCAAATGTGAAATTACTATTTTGTAATAGATAACATTTTTTACCGTTTTTTATGACAAAGAGTATAACTGAACCGAATAATCAAAATCTGCATTATTCTTGACTTCTATATTATCTTACTCTTTTCCTTCATAATTATTTTCTAAAATCGATATATATATAATAATATATATAAAATTATAGAATATTTTTTCAATCATCAATTTCTTCGATAGTTGGTCAAATTGGTCAACTTTTTTCCAAACTAACATGAATGCTAATTATACTGACATATGTACTTATGCATATATTACTGTTGATAAAAAAATGTATATAAAGAACTTATTTATATTGTTCAACAAACATGTAAAAATTAAAATATAAATCGAATTCGAAATGATGATATCTAACGTTCAGCTAGCGTTCTGCACAAACCATTGTACTTGCTTTCGTTTCCTTGGATACCATATCGTCTTAATATACCAAAAGAATAAAGGGGTGAGTGCGTAACGGGCAGTGTTGTGCGCCAGCCCTGGTGAGAGTTTGAAGACCATGGATGGCCTGGACACGGGTTTTGCTGCATGGGAATTCGGCGACACCGTGTTCCGCGTGCCTGTCAGATATCAGAACTTGAATCCCAAAGGAGTCGGGGCGCAAGGATCCGTCTGGTAAGTATCAAATGACGACAAGACGAAAGGACTTTCATAAATTTTCGGTATATGGACTTTGGAATAAGCTTTGATTGCTGAATTGTGTCGATATTTTTACCAATTCCAAACCAAGAGAACATTTCAATTCATACATTTTTAAAGATGAGCGAAGTGCATTATCAAGTTTAGCTTAATTCTTATAATTCTATACATATATGATATGTTTTGTTCTGATAATAAAACTCATTTAAAGATTTAAGACGGTAATTATAATTATAAACTACGATAATATTAAAAAGTGTATATATAAATTATATTATCGGGATAATGCATCTGGTATTATTTTTAACTGAACTAACAATACTAATAACACATTATTGCAAATTATTCTAATATCAAACTTTTAAACCCCTTTGATTCTTGCAATTTCTTTAAGCATAGCCTAATAAACTCTTAAATGCTTTGTAAATTTAATGTGCCTCATTCAACAGATTGCGATTCTTCATTAATATCATGGAGTTATGCATGATCTTTGTGTATTATTACATTATTTTATGAACTAAAACCTAATTTATCTTTCTTCCCTACAATAATGTTATTTCAGTGCTGTACTACAAAAATTAATATACGAATTAATTTATATATGTTCACTTACATACATGTAATTTTCATGTTTATTCAATTTTTTTCTATATTGTTTAAATAAACAATTTTTTTTCACGTCATGAAAATAATCTGAAAGGGAAATCTAACGTTCAGAGTTGAGATGTGCTTCTTTCCATACAGGTATCAAATTATCATAGCTTTGTTAAAAGGAAAATCTGATATTCTATATTTTATATATTAGAAATTTTTATTATTATTTAATTTGGACAAAATAAATACTTCCAGTTAAACGATAACTGTTTCACAATGCAAATTCAACATTTTTGCAAACCTAATAACTAACCCAACTTTGAAAATGTTTCAGGTTATTTTGCTGTGCAGGTAGATTGATAATAGAAATTTTGAGCATGCATGCATGAAATAGATGTTTCTGATATAGTTTTATTTTTATGCTTGATTATACTTTAATTTTATTACTGCTTTTTAACGAATGGTCTTTGCATGAACTTTGATATTCTATTGCTTTTGTAAATTTCTATGATTATCTTTGCATTTGTTTATTTTTTTTATTAATAATTAATATTTTTCATTCATTCATTCATTTAGTGCGGCGTTTGATACCATATCTCAACAGAATGTTGCGATCAAGAAGCTGTCAAGGCCGTTCCAGAATGTGACCCACGCAAAACGAGCCTATCGCGAATTCAAGTTGATGAAACTTGTCAATCATAAAAATGTGAGTTTTTTATTTTAGATAATTTTGTTTTTCATAATGCAGTGGTGCCTCGAATACAACGTACGCCTCGCACAATTGGCGACTTTTTTTTTGATGCATCACAATGAACTTTGCTTCTCACAACATACTGGACAAAATACTTACTGGTTGCAAAAATATGTTATTCATTTAGTTTCAATATCAATCAGAAAGCCTCGATGTCCCAAGTTATTTGGACCATGGAAATTTTTGCCCTCGCTGTGAAAATATACTTATTACTATTTTCGTTATTGGATAATTATCTTTACACCTAAAAGATCTTAATAAAATTTTGGAACAGGATTATCAAACACCAATTAGAAAAAAGCCAGTCCGCCGATTTCAAATGCCATCATTGAGTTTTTTGATTAAATCAAAAGAAGTACAAGTAATCATCAATGTTGAGTTTTCAAATATGACTGACGCGATGGCATAATGAAGATCATACCTTCACGCCTATCATTTCCGATAAGTTTTGAAAAGAGAGTTAAACAAAAAACTATCGACAGTTTCCGGAGTTATATGGGCAAAAAGGGAGATAGGACTAAACGAACTTCCTCTCGTAACGAATTAAGTACGTTTGCGAGGCACCTTTAGTATTATTTTTGGGCTTAGCCAGAGAGAACAGCAAGGAGACTTTACCTTCACTATTCGATGATCTAAGAATTTTTAATAAATGGTATTTTTATTGTTGAAACTTTACTTCGATCTGCTACTCCCTATCGAAACCATGGCTACTCCCATGACAATACTTGTGAACACTTTTGACATGTTTAAAAAATCGACATATAAGCGCTTTCCTAAACTATTTTGTAAACTTCTTAATCCTTCTCAACTTGTACGCCTATTCAAGATAATTTTGGTTTGTCTTCAATTGCTAATAAACATAAATAATTATTTTTATTATGTTTTTTTTTGATAGTTTTTAAGCTCATTAGCGTTCAACTTATTTCCTTTTTTTTCTTTACAGAATTCGCATACAAGGTATATTTTTTCTTTACACATATAAGTTTATTTTTTTACATCTTACAAATGCATAGTTTATATTGAAAATTACTATCTTACAATTATTCATAATTCTGTGGTATTTTTCCCTTTTATTTTTTTAGATTATTGGACTGTTAAATGCCTTCACGCCACAACGAAGCTTAGAAGACTTTCAGGATGTTTACTTAGTGATGGAATTAATGGATGCAAATCTGTGTCAGGTTATACAGATGGACTTGGATCATGAGCGAATGTCATATTTACTTTATCAAATGCTATGCGGCATTAAACATTTACATTCAGCTGGCATTATCCACAGGGTTTGTATATTCTACCACTTACAACTTCTTGATACTTTTAGTGGGTAATTATTTCTATTGAAACAAATGGACTACTACTGATTTATTAGTGATTTTGATCAATTTTATTGCAATTATCAGTTGTTTGATGGAATTTCTATTGTTCATTCATTTTTGTTCACTTTTGGACAAAACGACATAGTATTATTTTATAAGAACTACAGGGTAGTTCAATCGAGATCGAAAAAAGAGAATTAAAGTATGTCAAAATGCTTTTTACTTTTGCTCTAACTACTTCTAAAAACAGACAAAAGGATCAAACGGTAAAAAGATGAAATTTGAATTTATTTTAAATAACTATATTATCTTCTCCTAAGGCCGGCGAAAGCTGGTTGAGATATATGATTTGTTCCCTTTGGGCTCATGCGTTATTAACTAATGTCCCAAATAATTTATTTTTGAACTGTCTTGAAAATTAGTATTTCATTATATTTTTACTCTATATGCCATTTCTCGGACAAAATATTGTGTAATTATTTATATTTTTCCTTAATAAATTTTTATTATAGTTTCTACCTAATTTAAAGACTATGTTACTGGTAATCAATGATTCTAAGATCAGTAAATCCATTGCGACCGAATATAATATTCATAAGTAAATAAATATAATTGGAAAACAAAACACCATGTTATTTGGTCCATACTTCTCCTATATCTCTAGTAATAAAAAATATAACGTTGCATATTCTGAATTTGATCATAGTCCAAACCTAACAATTGCCCTTTTTGTTCCATATTCTGACATATAATGAGATTCACTTTCTTTATGGTGTTAATGCATCCTAGTTTTAATTTAATTTCTCTGGTTTTTTGTGTAATTTTTCTTTTACGTATTATTGATAGTGCATCGTCAATATTGCGTTTTTCACACGTCGAAAATTTAGGCATTTTATGTAAGATTTGGAAAAAATCTAGTGTTAAGATTTTTTATATTTTAATCAATAAGTATTTCAAACATCATGTTGTTTACTACCCTTCTAAATATTTCCTATTTAATTGCCTAGGATCTAAAGCCGTCCAATATCGTCGTAAAGTCCGACTGCACACTCAAAATTCTTGACTTCGGTCTGGCACGTACTGCCGGCACAACGTTCATGATGACGCCTTATGTCGTGACGCGTTATTATCGCGCACCAGAAGTCATCTTAGGAATGGGATACAAAGAAAATGTCGACATTTGGTCCGTTGGCTGCATCATGGGCGAAATGATACGCGGAGGTGTGCTGTTTCCCGGAACTGATCATATAGATCAATGGAATAAAATTATTGGTAAGTAGGAAAGATAATCATATAAATCTAATATCTGGTTTTGACAACTTGACTTTATGAAGAAGTTCTACTAGGTATTATTATATTCAGAATTATTGTATCCGCTGATTAAGGCGCCTACTCACCTTAGTCCTACCACCTATAGACTTAGTTATATCTACTACTTAAAAATATATATAGTATTAAGTCTGAGATTAACTTTTCTTTAATTATTATTTACCAAGTCAAACTCAATTATTAACTGGTTAACTGTCATTGACGAATATACTCGTCATGGAGAGGTAGCAGAAATTTGTGTATTGAGGAGTATACTCGTCGAACATATAATACTTGAACCATTGGCTAGTTAGAATGCAATTTTTGAAACGGACAAAAACGAAATATGTTTTCAAATTTGAAGGTATTCAGAATAGTTTGAGGCTAACCCAGTTAATACTTGCAAGTTATCTGGTTAAACTAAAGCTTAAAGTGAATGAATAGTCTTCAAGTAACAAATATACTTAAAAACTATTAAGTCGCAGGGTGCTAAGTATGAGCCATTAAGATGGGTCCGAGATAAAGCCATTATTTTTTGTCTTACCTACTTTGTCTTAAGCTCCAAGAAAAAACATTAGAATCATATGTTATTATTACGTTAAAAGTCTTACAACTGAGTCCAAAAAGTTGTAAGAAACTTCTCAAGTCACATATTTTACATAGTTTTATATCCTTCTAATTGTAAATAAGAATTTATTTAAGAATTTCTATTTAACGGTACCCAATGTTGTAATTTATATCAGAAAGAGTAAAGCTGTTGTACGACTTGAGTACTCTTGTCCTGGATATACTTTAAAGTAACCGATAACCTCTATGGAGGCCTCTAATCATTTGGTTTTGCCGGATGAGACTGGCTCTTCAAGTGCCAGCTATCCTGAGGCAAACTTCAGAGAGAACCAGCTACTAGATGGTTCAATTAGTATTTAGCCCCTATGACCAGTTCCGACGATCGATTAGCACGTCAGAATTGCTACGGTCCTCCATCAGGGTTTCCCTTGACTTCGATCTGACCAGGCATCGTTTACCATCTTTCGGGTCTCAGCGTGTACATTCTCGGTGTAAATAACTTCCGATGAGCGAGTCTCATCCGGTAAAGCGAATGATTAGAATTAAATAAGTTAAGTAGTATTCAAAGGAAAGTAACCACACAGATGTTTAGTTTGTTTTACACAGATATGTAGTTTTAAATATTCTATTATAGGGACCGATTCTGCCGCATAACAGAAAAATGTTATGGCAAGGCCATGCTACGCTTCAACTTCTATACATTATGCTACTGAATCATACTGAATACTGTCAAAATGTCATGTATTTGCTGTGCATTCAGGCGTTTTACACATAAACTGCAACGTCACTTGTATGTTATGAAGCTGGGTCAGAAGGTCCCTGTTGTCTAAGATAGTTTTTATAACATTTGTGCAGTTTCTAGGTTAGATTTTATATCCGACAACCTGAGAAATACGTCTGACTGCACACCAGCCACATGGCTTTTGTAAATATTTAGTATGGAAAGTTCTTCATAACATGGTCATAACATTTTTCTGTTATGCTGCAGAATTGGTCCCATAGTCGATGTTTCAATTGAATTTAACATCTTAAATAAATTGTTATTTTAGAAAATCTGCATTAATTAGCTTTAGACAAAATATAAAATAAACTGTTCATAAAAAATATAGCTGAAGGATTCTTTTTACATTTATTCCATTTAAGATCAATTACATCTAATTTTTATCCGAACTTATTTATGTAACAATTGATATTATATTGGAAAATAAATATAATTTTCCAATTTCAGATTTAACAAAACATGCAGTACAATTTTTTTTAATAAAACAGCACATATTATGACATTATCTAAGTCACTTTTAAGGAAGATCATGTTTACAAAATATCTAACAAGAATTAAGAAAAACGAATTTATATAGATCACAAGCATTTACTTCTACAGCTTAATGCACAGAAATGTGACTTGTTTAATCATCCGTTAACGTCTTTTTATTTAAATTTATAACTAGTGGGGTGGGTGGCATCGTGCCTTAAGGCAAATTGCTGGAACTTCCCGTACCGTAACGAAACGTTCGAGGAATATTGAATGTTTTCAAATAGATTATTATAAATACTGTATTATTGTCTAATATTTATAATAATTATATAAACTGAATTGCAGAGTTGAAATTATTTGTTTAAAGTATATTAGAACTATAGTCAGAATTAAAAATAAAATCTGAATTATTTTCGATATACAAAAAATTAAAAAAAAAAAAAAAAAAAAAAAAAAAAAAAAAATGGTACAAAATTTTTTTTTTCCAAAATTAATTATTTTGTTAAGACAAGCAGAAAGTTCTTTGAATCAATTGAATCGGACGCTTAGTTCTCTCAAAAACTGCCATTTTTTGTACATTTAGCTCTGTATCTCCGAAATGGCTGGGCCTGCCTTTGCGAAAAACTAATAACCCTTTCTCCCAATCATTACTAATGGAATGTTTTTAGATCATTCAAATCGGATGCTCCGTTCTCTCAAAAACTCGATTTCTATTTTCTGCACTCTTTGCTCCTTATCTCCGTAACTGCTGGACCTGTCTTTGCCAAAAACTAATCAGCTCTTCTCCTTATTAATAGGAATCGAATGTTTTTTAAACCATTCAAATCGGTTGATCCGTACGCCCGAAAACGTGGACGAAAATTTGTATCCATACATACATACACACACACACACACACACACACACACACACACACACACACACATCCATTTTTTCTGAGGTATGCCAAAACGTTCAGAAACCTTCAAAACGTCGAGAAATGTAAAAATTTTCAATTCCGATTTTCGGCCCATTACAATAACTTACCCTACGGGAAGTTAAAAATAGACGAATTTATAACATTATTTTTAAATATAATTTTATTTTAAGTATGACAAGAGATAATTATTCGAATATTCCAGTCATGGTGCAATTCATATATAGATTTCTATTGGATTAACCTTGTTTTTATAACCATTTGGCGCACATGTATTTTAACTATATATTTTTTTATATTTTACATATAAACACAATTTATGAAGTATTTGAACATTTTAATACCTGTGGTAAGTGTATTTCATGGTAAATTAGTTCAAATGTACATTATTTCTATTCAATTTAGTCGATTAAATACTTTCATCAATAAAATTAATGCGTCTTTAATGTGAATAGTAAATTTATTATCTTATGGTTATTTATTATTTTGTGTATTGACGAGTATAGTCGTTATGTGTCCAAAACAGTGACCACTTACTAATAAAATTGAAATATTTAAAAAAAAAACTATATTCAAAAATGTCAAGTGTATAAAATAAGTAGTTGTAAGTGAATTATGTATTAGCTATTTAAATATTTTTTTCTACTGTTTATTTTGGATTTTTTTAAATATTTGATATTGAATTTAATTTGTTTCTAGTTCAATATGTTTGTTATATATGATTATGTTAACAAAGAAGTAGAATGTAAGGAAAGCATTTTTCATTTTTGCAAAATAAGCCTATATTTTTTCGGATGTTTTACCAGCGCGACTTGCACTGTTATTGACGAATATACTCCTCATGAGATCGATTCGAACGACTGTGCACACTGCACGACGTGAGCTACACAGTTAACTTGTCAAATATTTTGGAATTTGAAAAATGTTAGAAATAATAAATATATAATTTGAGCTGCCAAATTAAACCTAGCCAGCCTCATGGGAAAAAATCGCATTATTAATAGTTTTGTTTTGGAATAGTAGAAGTGTTTTAGTTACTAAGTTGAAAATTTAGGAATTAGATGATACTCTTTAGATAATACTTATTGTTTTAAATAATATATATATATATATATATAAATAAATAAATAAAATTTTGATAAATTTCTAGAACAATTGGGCACCCCTAGTCAGGCCTTCATGCAGCGCCTGCAGCCGACGGTTCGCAATTACGTTGAAAACAGGCCGCGTTACCAGGGCTACTCATTCGACAGATTGTTCCCGGACGCCTTGTTCCCATCCGACAGTAATGAGCATAATCGACTGAAAGCTAGTCAGGCACGCGATCTGCTCAGTCGCATGCTGGTTGTCGACCCAGAACGACGGATATCAGTCGATGACGCGCTCTTACACCCGTACATAAATGTGTGGTATGATGAAGGAGAAGTCAACGCTGTAAGTTATATTATTGTATATTATTCAATTAGTTTGTACTAGAGTTGGGCTTATCATATTCGAAGCCGGATCGGTTAGAATATAACTTCGCTTCTGAGAGGAGTTACAACCGCAACTCTGTCCACCCTGGAACCTAATACCCAACACAAATGTGTTCAATAGCTTGTTGTGCATGTGACTAAGGATTTGTCAAATCACATGAATAAATGAAATTCATGTATAAACAGTTCAAACACATTTGTTCATATTATTACAAAAAATTACTATTTAAGCATTTCAATATGCATACAAATCTGATATACCATGCCGAAAGATAGGCAATAAAAATACTGAAATATCAAAATATTAAACCACGAAAGGAATACTAATATTTATTAATAAAATATTTAAAATTACATTATTTTTTTTCAATTCGCAAAAAAATCAAAAATAATAATTTTTGCACATCTTTACGTTTTCGAGGTATGTAAACATTCCGGCATACCTTAGAATAAATGGATGTATGTGTGTGCGTGTGTGTGTGTATGTATGTATGTTTGGATACAATTTTTTGTTCACGATTTCGGGTGCACGAATAAACCGATTTGAATGATTCAAAAACATTTTGCTTATATTGACGAAATGAAAAGTTGATTAAATTTTTAGAAAGACAGGTCTAGCGGTTTCGGAGATACAGAGGAAAAAGTGAAAATTAAATGATGTTTAGCGGTCGAAAATGATCATTAGACATATTATGTTCATCAAATTATCAGATATTTAATAAATTTTTGAAAAATGAGTACTAATTTTGTTAAAAAAAATTTTAGTTCTGTATCAAGATTTTTAATTTTTTAAGTTCACTTGTACATTTCAAACAAATATCAAAATTATCAACAAAAAAATATTTTTTAAAGTTAAAAATATATACAAAGTTTTATACTTTAAATACAAATTTTACATTTATAATTTATTTTAAAAATGTATAAATTTCATATACGTTATTCTAATCATAAGCAGTATATTCTCTGATAGATCCCCTATTCGGCATGTTCATGTAAACAATCTCAAGTGTTTTATGTGAGAAGAACGTTGCTATATAATATATGAGAGATAAAATATATAATATTTATAATTATCTTTTTGAAAATATTTAAAACAATTGTTATTAATGATTGATCAATATTTATTGCTACTGTTTTTTTTTTACCTGGAACGTTTAATTATGGTACAGAAAGTTCCAGCAATTTGCCTTAAGCATGATGCCATGCACCACTAGTTATTTATAACAATCAGAAATGAATTAAAGAGCTAATGTACGACAACAAAGCTATAATTGAAATAATAATAGGTAGGGCAGGGCACAAAAGCCAAATTTGACATTCAGTAATTATAGTGTCTACTCCAAACCAAATGAACTATATCACAATGTATAACATGTATCAAACAATGTTCAGTAAAATTAAGTTAATTCAAAATTGTAGAAATATGTTTTTTATTAGTTTTCTAAAATTTCTTATCTGTCACTTTTTACCCAATAGACGCGTGTAAAGAGGAACAGCCAGGGGCAAATAGATACAGTATCTTGTTTTTAAATTTAAAGGGATTTTATGGAATAATCACTACATTACTTAACCAATGCGAAATACAAATTTTATAGGCACACATGTATACAACCTTAAACTGGTATTTTGTCTAAAATATTCATCAACAGGGTTGGAATAACTATTAATTTAATTTATTTCTTGTAAAATTGCGTTTTTTATTTAACTTAATTTATATTTCATTTACTATTTGCCAGTGTAAAGGTTTAGCTGGTCCTTTGCTTCTCATCCACATGTAACCTTTTATATATGTATGTTTTTTATATTATATGTTGAATCTAACTTAAGAATAACAATATACCTTCTAACACGTGAAACGTAGGTGTACATATAACTGACTCTTGAGGCAGTCAACTGTAGTTTGTACTACATCTAACATTTAATCCTTTGCTCGTTAAAACATACCAGGAATTTTCAATATTGTTCGACTTGTTGTTTAATACATTGTCTGATTGCAGCCTGCTCCTGGTCCGTACGACCACAGCGTGGATGAGCGCGAACATACTGTGGAGCAGTGGAAAGAATTGATTTACCAGGAAGTAATGGATTACGAGGGACGCGGAAGCAATAATGAGGTAGCAGCGGAGGCGGCCGCCCAGCGGTAGACGTGCGGTAATTTCGCTATAGAAAATTAATAATTTGATTCAATCACTAGTTCATTTGGACAAGTATAACATTCTGAATTATCATTCTTTGGGAAAATAGACTTAGTTCAATTGTGTCTTTTGCTTGTTTTGTTTGAAAATAGTCTTATTAATATTGCACTTGATTACAATTTGGTTGTTAAATGGCTCTCAAGCTATAAATTTATAATGAAATATTGTTGTTTATTTTAATTACCATTTGTTTAGATAAAAAAGATTGTTATTGGTAAACCACTTTTGAATAATAAGAACATTTTCTCCTATTTTTTTCTAGTTTCTAGTATATTTTTATCAGAATTGTGTGAGTTTTATTAAATTATTTGTTGGCGTATGATAAAATGTGCAATATGATTTAAATTCAATCAGTGAAAAATGTTAAAAAGAGTGTGAACAATTGTAAAACTTTTTGAAATATGTGTGTGAATTTTTTGTGCAAATTGCTAAATTGAACAATACATTTGGAAGTGGGCTATGAAAAGTATAACTTTAAGATTTATGTATCATGTTTGTATTTCAGTTTTAATATTAAGATGCCATTTATTAACTGTTTCAAAAAACGAAAATTAGTGATATTTAAATAGGTAATAGATAGCATATTTATAAACTTTTTATTTATTTAATGTAGTTAATAATAATATATATTAACTATACATCATTAAAAACAAAATGTAATATTTGTAAGTAACATCTTTCGTATTTTGTTAATAAAAATTTAATCTTGATCTATGAATAACTAATAACTAATGTATTTGAATTAACACAATTTTATTTTAATATTTTTTGGTGACCTTCTAAAATTAAGATACTATTCAAAATAAATTAATAATATTTAAATTGATTACTCTTTCTTTAAATTATTTTTTATAAGGAGTTTTTAATTTTTTGCGAGTATAGCACCTTGGCTATTTATATAATGTATGAGTCTGTAATATTTAAAACAAACTGTCGTGTTTGATGTTTTTGTAGAATCTTTCATCATTTATTTTAGTAATATACTTAAGGATAATCATGAGATAGTTGTAATTAATAAAGCATACTGTCAGATATTAATTGACAATAGTTAACATACTATTCATCATAGAATATTTAATGATAAATAAATTGTAGTATAAAATATTTATACTCTTCAGTTTTTTTCAAAATAGCAGCATTTGCTATATTTGAAAGGTTTTCAATGATTTGATTAATAATCTTATGTCAGCCTCAAATGGTACAATACTTTATTGTGACTGGAAATACTGAACAATATTTGCTACTGAAAGAGGTTTACTTCCCGTCACTGCTTATGGTTACATAAATGCTTGGAACTAACTTGTTGCAAAATTATCTTGTAAAGCATTATATTATTTTCTGAACTGCATGAATTATAAATTAAATATTTACTCAAATCTTGGTAAATAATTTTTCGAATAAATTTATAATGTTTTTTATGTGTTAAGTAATAACATTAAATAATATTTATTTTGTTATAACTTCTGTTTAATATTTTCTCATCAATGTTCAGAAAATTATGTAATGCAATTTTTTAAGAAAAGATGCTGTTATATAAAAACTAGAATGTATGTATAAATTTTATAACAAGTTTCTGGCAGTTGAAGTATTTTATTTTCAATAATATTGTTCAGCTCTATTATTTATATGATAAACTGTATATATCACAAATCTATAATGCGTGATGTAATATGTGATGTATATATTTGAAAACAAGATCAATGATTTAGTTTTGGTTTTAGATTAAGTTTAATTGAATGCATTTGTGCAAAAAAAAAAATTAAGTTTTTCTGCATATTGGTAGGACTAATTTGTTTAAACATGACATGCTTATTAACACTCTATTTTGAAATGATTAATGAATACACTAATATTTATATGCTGATAAAAAAACATATTTTTATTAATTTTAACATTGGTAAATTTAACAGACCTGCGAGTCAATTTTTTTCAAAATAATTTGTTCATACTGATTAGATGGTATTAGATGGACTGATTACTGACTGGTATTGTGAAAAAATGCAGAGAGATTTGTTTTATATAATCTATTTGAATCTATGATATAAATGTTGCAATCCATATGATCTCCTATTATAAACTACATATAATGAACGTCCATCCTATAAAGGCTTTATGATAATCTAAATAATAATTACAATGTGCATTAATTGTAAACACATACATTCTATTAACATTTTGTATGACAGTAAAATCCGTGGTGCAATTGAAAAAGAAATTCTAAATATATTTTCTTGAATCCTTTTAGAAAAATGGTTCGATTTTTCTTTGAATGCACACATGAACAGACAAATGAACTGTTTTGTTCTTAATAAAATTTTCCCTTTTATTCAAAGTGTAAGTATGCATCCTACCTTTTATTTGTAAGGCTAAGTAATATATGCAAATATATATGAAAGTATATTGAATATAGAATCTAGGTAATTAATATTTGTAACTTGTTTTATGATGTTCATACAGCAGAGTAAAAATAAATAATGTATGTGAATAAACTGATGTGAATAATTTAAAAGAATGTGTATTTGATATTTCAACTGTAAACTACCTGAAACTTTCATAATGCGATGTGTAGCTTAGAGTAGATTAATATACAAAATTTAGTTGTAAAAGTGGTAGCAAGCAAAGTTATAGATCAAGAATCTACAACAGAAATCAAGATCTACAACTGAGTAAACCTGCTTAAAACTTTTTTTCTGCTGCCTAAATATATTACTAACAATTACTTCAAACATAAGAAATAGAGCTGTGATAAGCTCAGAAACTTGAGAAACAATTTGCTAACTATTGATAGTGATAAAACTGGTAATTAGAGCTTCATGTAATATATCTCAATTTGAACAACTATCATTTTGCATGAATAAGAACAAAATATAGTGATAAAATTAATTTGAGGGAGTTGTAGGGTCTAATTATACTATCTAAATCAAATAAGTAATTGCAAAAGGTATTTCATGAAGTTCATGAAGTACTATAGTTATCTGCTCTAAGTTTCATGAGCCCTGAAAAATGTTTGAAATGAAATAGGCAGAAATAAATAAGAAAAGGCAATAAGTTAGAAATGAAGGTCTGTGTTAATTATAACTTCAAGAATATAATTGTTTCAAATAATAAGTCGTTCTGTGCAAAAATTATATATTTTGCAAAATATTTCATGAAAATAATAACAAACATGCAAGTAGTTTAAATTCCATTTATTTTTAAATTCTAAACGATCAAATTGATATTTTAGCACTCAACTTGCTTTTAGAAAATAAAATCCTTGTGCTACTTTTGTTCTTTCGAGCCTTTTGAACTTTATCTTTTTTCATTTCATATCATCTTTTTTTATAATACATAATGAAGATTGCAGTATAAAAATGTCGCATTAAACATTTAAAGTCAACCTTCTAATTTCATCACTCAATTAAATTTTTTCTATTATAAATCTTCACAAATATTGATATTCCTGTAACTTTTCAAGTCATGACGATAAAACATTGGAAAATGTGCAGATTGCAAATTGTTATTTAGATTTAGTATCTATGGGATCTAATTTTAGCACTAAAAATCACTTCGGTCATGTATTGAATATTGTTGATAGAAATTTAGAAAGGCATTTTGGTTCTGGTTCTGTAATGAAGATTTCCAGCATCCAGTAAGCAATGCAAATTTCGGTTTATAACGTGATTATTTCATCAATATCTTGGGAAAAAACAGAATTGAGTTGTGGCTTTTTTAAATGGCTTTCACATCGAACATTTTCATGTTCAAACATAATTAATACGCAGTCGCAGTAGGTTAACAACGTTAACAATAAATTTATCGAAATAACGCGTTGTTTTTTATTTTTTCGTCTTGTAAGCCATTCAAGTTCAACATATCGGTTTTGTACTATTTCAGAATAACAATCGCATTAATATTTTTAATAATATGTATTAACAAGTGCCAAGAATATACGTCATTAGGTGCTTTTAGAACAATTGGAAAAAAGATGAAAATGTAGAGAAACAGGTTTTTCTGTTTTTGGATTACTCAGGAATCTGTGCATATATTAGAGAATAAAACAAAGAGTAATTTTTTATGATTTTTTAAATAACGATGACAATGAGTTAGATTTTTCAGTTTGCTGAAGTTGAGAAAAAATAAAGAATATTTTATAGTAAGTATATTACAATCAAGTATTAATTAGAAGTTTTAGTATCATACAATATTTTTAAAGTGTAATTTGATAAATTTTATTTATAATCATTTTATAATTTATTTATGTAATCTCACTTTGACAGAAAAAGTGATGCCATTGTGTGAAAATACACAATTTCTGGAACACTTCAGCAGAACAACATGCTATAATTATGATATATTAATATATCACAAATATACCAAGGGAGTGAATTTTCTAATAGAAATAAATATGTACTATTAAGGAAAATATGTGCATTTCATCAGGTAAAAAAATGAGTTTTATTATCCCACCGATACAAACAATAATTAATTATAATTTAAATTGTAATATTTCTATGTTTGCGGGGCACCATACAGCCAGCTACAGGGATGTTAGTGATCGCTTTTATATAACTTTAAGTACTTTGCAAGAAAAACAGCGAAGAGTTACTTTAATAATCAAGAAAATTATGATAGAAAGCACAGCA